AAATTTTTTTACCACCGGTTCTGTGGGCGTGGCTTGGTGGGCATGGCAGGGGAAGGATCCTGCAAAATCCCCATTCCCTCCCCACTCCTGGGGGAAGGATATTGCAAAATCCCCATTCCCTCCCCACTCCTGGGGGAAGGATATTGCAAAATCCCCATTCCCACCCCACTCTGGTTCCCCGAACTACTCAAAATTTCCACTCCTGGTTCTCTGAACTGCTCAAAATTTCTGCTACCAGTTCTCCAGAACCTGTCAGAACCTGCTGGATTTCACCCCTGAAGGACCCCTAGTCCTTCTTTTGCTTGTCATACTCAATTTCTGCAACTGTTCTTCATATGGTTTTGTCTCCAGGCCTTTAATCTTCTTAATTGCTCTTCTTTGCACTTTTTCCCATGTAACCTAAGGAAGTAAATCTAATCTAATCAGGTTTAATATTAATCCTAATTTAATCCAGTGTTGAGTATTCTGCCTCCAGACCTCTCCACATTTTAACAAATCCTGGATGGGGTTTTCCAGTGCTGTTACTCTAGTTTCTTAAGAGTAAAGGTACATCTGAGAGCCGGTTTGGTGTTGTGGTTAAAGGACCCAAGCTAGAAACGAAGACATTCTGACTTTCACTTCTCTCTTAAGTGCAAACTCAACAGAATGACCTTGAGCCAGTCATTCTCTCTCTCAGCTCTAGGAAGAAGGTAATGGCAAGCCGCTTCTGGAAAACCATGCCAAGAAAACCACAAGGATTATATACACATTCAGCTGTTCTTCCATGCCTCTTTTTGCTCCTTGCTTCTAACTTTGAGGAACCCAACCCAAATTGAAAATGGCTGCACAGTTGGCTGGACGACACCTTCTCAGGATTCCAGGCTTAGTAAATACTGAATGTTTGCAATTAAAAATGAATTCTTCCTTAAGGATAGAGATATCTGGGGAAGGGAGGTTTTACAACATTATGAAATGGTTGTTGTTCCCTCTTTATTAGTGGCTACTTCTGAAAAAATGTTTCCCATGCAGCAATGAAGTTTTAAATTGGCTTTCATTTGCTTGTTGTTTAATCAAGAGAACATGTTTAAGGGTTAGGCTAAGATAAAAATGGGAAATGGGTGGAGGAATTCTGAGCCAAGGAGAAGGATTAGGAAAGCTTGGGGAGATATCTAGATCAGTATTTCGCAATCTCAGCCATTTTAAGATGTGTCGACTTCACCTCCCAGAATTCCTCAGCCTTAATTATCCAAACAAAGGCCTCTCCCTTTAAAGGAAGTTCACAAGTGCCACTGAATCACCCTGAAGAAATTAAACAGGGCCAAATGCCCAGGTTCTTGCTACTCAGGATTTGACAATGGAAGAATGCACCTCTCAGATATTTCCAGGAGCAACCTAGAGCCAAGCATTTAGCCCCTCCCTCCAAAATGTGCCCTTATATTGAGCATTAATTCAGTGCTACCAATTAGCTATGTTCATGGCCAAACTAAGTCATAAATGGATATAGAAACCACAACTGATGCACTAAGCCTGCCTTCCTTGGGGACCTGTATACTGCATGGATCAAAGAAAAAAAGGCTGAGAAAATCTCTGCAGATCCCTCACCTCCTGAACATAAACTGGCTCAGCTTCCCCCCTCGGGACACCACTGTAGGGCATTGCCTGCCAAAACAACCAGATACAAAGACAGTTTTCCCCCCTGTGCCATCACTCTGCTGAACACCTAATTCTCACCGTCTAAAGATATTTACCCATGTAGTAGGGCTGTATTACTGTTATCCTTCTCATCTTTCCTACTACCTTCTACTATTGGATTATATTACTTTGTTGTTTGTATGTACAGGTAGTCCTTGATTTACAACAGTTCATTTAGTGACTGTTTGAAGTTACAATGGTGCCAAAAAAAGTTACGTGAAGAGAAAATAAAGAGAAAACCAGCCCCTCGTTCCTCTCTGGCCGAGGGAAAAAGCTTTCCTGCTTCTAACCACACCTGCATCCGCTGAGTTGCACCTGGAAAAATGGCAGGAATGTTATTGATAAGCATATCCTGTGAGTGCCGCATGGGGGTTACAGGATACCCACTGCCTTGACCTGGAAATAAATGTACTTCTCGAAGGTCATTTATTGGGCCTTAATGCTGCTCCAACTGATACAACCCTCGACTTACAACAGTTCATTTAGTGACCATCCAAAGTTACAACGGCACTAAAAACATGACATAGGACCTTTTTTCACACTTATGACCATTGCAGCATCCTCAGGGTCATGTGATCAAAATTCTGCCGCTTGGCAAATGACTCATATTTATGACGGTTGTGGTGTCCCAAGGTCATGTGATCTCCTTTTCCGACCTTCTGACGAGCAAAATCAATGGCAAAGCCAGATTCACTTAACAACCGGGTTACTAACTTAATTGCAGTGATTCATTTAGTAACTGTGGCAAGAAAGGTCTTAAAATGGGGCAAAACTCACTTAACAAATGTTTCACTTAGCAACATAAATTTTGGGCTCAATTGTGGTCATAATTTGAGGATTACCTGTATGCACTGGAGACAAATTCCTTGTGTGTTCAATGACACTTGGCCAATAAAGCTATTCTGTCCTGTCCTGTCCTGTCCTGTCCTGTCCTGTCCTATCCTAATCCTATTTTATCCTACCCTACCCTACCCTATCTTTTATCCTATCCCGTCCTTCCAAAACTAAATGAAGCCAGCTAAGTGATTTACACCCTAGTGCAATCTATGAATCTGCCCTCTTGAGTCTCTTTGGTTGTTGCCTGTCCATAATTGAGGTGGAGAGAGAGAGAGGGAGAGAGAGAGAGGAAGGGAGAGAGAGGAAGAGAGAGAGGGTGGGGGAGAGGAAGAGAGGATATTGTTGTAGCCTAACGTAAACAATTCCAAGCTTGTGAGGGCTGAGCTACTCAAGGAAGTACCCCAATTGATATGCAGCTAATCCTGTAGGTTCATCATTGACATTAATTTCCTTCCCCACCTGATCTGCCAGCTGAAATGGTACAATCCAAGAACTCCATTATACATGCCACATGTGAAAAAGGTCTCAAAAGTAGCACTTTGGTGCATATTATTAATTGAGACATAAGGTTTAGAACAGTGGTGGGATTCAATTTTTTTTACTACCAGTTCTGTGGGCATGGCTTGGTGGCTGTGGCATGGTTTGATGGACGTAGCTTGGTGGGTGTTGCAGGGGAAGGATACTTTAAAATCTCCATTCCCTCCCCACTCCAAGGGAAGGATACTTTAAAATCTCCATTCCCTCCCCACTCCAGGGGAAGGTTACTGCAAAATCCCCATTTCCTCCCGATCCACTGGGACTCGGGAGACAGAGAATAGATGGGGGCAGGGCCAGTCAGAGGTGGTATTTACTGGTTCTCCGAACTACTCAAAATTCCCACTACTGGTTCTCCAGAACTGGTCAGAACCTGCTGAATACCACCTCTGGTTTAGAATAATTGCTAAGAATAATTCCTTCCCCTATAGTTATTTAAACCCTGCTACAGCATGCTTTCCTAAGTCCAGCTTGGGGGATAAGTGATCTTTTTAATAACTGATACGTATTTCCATTCAAATGAGATCACCCTTTCAATGTATTTTTAAAAATATGGTTTATTGCTTAAATTGTTATCACAGGTAACAACTATGTCCCAAGCCAAACAACTTGTTCCGAGCCTCCTTTTTGGTGAGTGCTGAACAGAGCAAAGCGTGTAATGGGTTGCCCCATAAATGCTGGTACCTTGTTTGGAATTTGATGTAGTAGGACCTCATTTCAAAAGGGACTCCCTCAATCTGGTGCTCTCCAGGCATCTTGGAATTGCAACTCAGAAGGGCCATCTGACATGGCCAGCACAAGGAGCATGAGGAGTAGGGAAAGCTATGTCTCAAGCCTGACTCACTATTTTAGTTACCTACAAAAGTGATGCTGCTTTGCTCATTAGGACCCTCTGGATGTAACTCCCATAGCTGAAAACTGGCCAAGACAGAAATGCTGTCATGAGAGTTTCATTATGAAGATATTTCACATGTTATCATGAAACCATCTCTACTGATACTATCTAGCACTATAGCCTCTTCTGTGTGGTGTATCAGAGCAATTTACTTGGGGAAAATCCATCTAAGAAAGTTAAAAGGAAAGGTTAGAGAAGCCTAAAAAGTGCCATGTTGGGACATCTGGAGAAAGAAATGGCAGACTGAAGAGATCCACGAAACATTGTGTTGACACGACCACCATGAGGAGCAGAGAGCCCCGAGTGGGCCAGCTCTTTGTACCTCTCTAAACAAGGATTCTCTGGACTTGGGATTGCCCACAAATGCTTGTGAAGAGATCACAAGATAGCAGACCCTTCCCTAGAGCCCTGACAACTTGTTCAAACCATGGTCGGCACCTTTGAAAGGACACTAAATTTACCTCTTTTCAGCTATTAAGAACCTTTGCATTGACAAGTTTGACAGCACCTGCTAAATTTCCCTTCAATTGTTGTTGTAAACTCCCCAAAGTCACTTAGGTGATGAAATGGGCTGTGTAGAAATTTAATAAATAATACTAAATAAATTCTTGGCAAAAGAGATTTTAAGGACAAATTTAAGAACGTATTTTGGGGAGGGGGATAAACAGCAAAAAGGAGATTAAAATGTTGATTTTAGAAAGTTATAAACAGGCTAAGGTTCCAGATAAATTTGAATAAGATTTTGGAATTAAAAGGAATCCTTATGGGAAAATGCTTTTGTTTTGTGAGATATATATAATTTTAATAATTGGACATTAGAGGGAACTAAAGATTACAATTAAAGAACACATAAACTCTAATAATTACAGACTTGAGCAATATGCTAATATTAGACACTCTGAAGGATATTTTTGAAGAATGGATTCATAAATTAATTGTGTTAGCAGTGACACCTGCCTCTATGGAAAGACATCTAAAAGATGTTATTGAAGAAGAACAAATTTTACCTGACAAGGTCAAGACTGAGTTGAAAGTCAATGTAACAAATGACAGGCTACAAGAATGATATGGAATAAGATATATTGATCATACAAAAGAAACTGGCTGATGTTGTAATAATTAAAAGGCAAGTACAAACAATAAACCAAGGGGTTTATTGGGAAATTTTTTTGGATTATTTTCTTATTTTAGATTTACAAAAGAGGTTTGTTAACATTTTGAAGATTTTTTTTAAAAAGGGAAAAGAAAAAAGAAAAAAAAATCAAACTCTATAACATTATTTGATGAAATAAAGATTAGGATTGTTAGAAGTAAAAGGAAGGAATACAAAGCTAATTTATTTAATCAAGGTTAAAATAGATGTGCCATTATCTCTGGTAATCTTTAATTGACTTTTGCTGACAGAACTGAAATGATGAGGCTTTATAGATTTGTTTATAGCTAAGAGATGGGATATGTGGGGCACCGTGGCCTAGTAGTTAAGATGTGGGGCTTGCCAATCAGGAGGTTGGCCATTTGAGACTCAAATACTGCATGATGGGTGAGCATCTGTTCTACCTAGCAGTTTGAAAACATGTAAATGTGAGTAGATAAATAGGTACCCCTTCAGTGGGAAGGTAACATTTGTTGCCTTCTAAGAGGAGGTGATAAGTTACTAAAATTGTTTATACTTGTGATGAAGGGAGAACCCATTTTAGAGATATATATATTCTTTTTTACAAAATTCTCCTTTATTTTTTCTTTCTTTTCTATTTCTCCATTTTTTCTTTTCTGCGCCTTCCATTCTTTTATTTTTATACTTTTTTAGTTTGTAGTAGCTTCCCTTTGTAAATACAACCTTTAATAACATTACTATTAAAAAAAGAGCCCTGTTGGATTATGATGTCCTGTCAATGTCCAGCATTGATCAGTCACCTGTTCCTGAAGGAGGTCAAGAAGTATTTCTTCAACCATTCCTCCCTGTCCATTGGCATCCGGTACATCAGGCTTCACCTTCCCACTGAGACACCTATCACAGGAGAGCATCTTAACTAAAGTGAGCAGATTCATACAGTGCATGAAACCGTATTGCTGGAATTCTCATTACAATAGGTCAAAACTTAACAAATGGCATTATGGCTCAAGGGAACATATAAAGTGAGCACCAAGTCTGAGTCTGAGATAAAATTTAGTCAAAGATCTCAACCATCTCAGCATTTCATATTCTCTGCCACTTGTGCTTTTAGCAAAGGAACATACTGTAAACCCAGGGCTATATTAGTATGGAATGGAAGAACCAGCTGTTTGGAGCAGCATGGAAGCAGCTTAAATAATGCTGGAAAAAATAATTAGTTTGTGCATAGGTCCTCTGGAACACAACTTACGCTCCGCAATTAATGAGCAGCATTGGGTCTCCCAGGCCTTCTTTAAAATGGGGGCTTGGAAATGTGAGGCTGATTTAGTTTTACCTACCGAGATTCACAGAGATGGTTTCAAACCTGCTTCACACCATCGTTTTGGAAGGAAGAGGGGAAAACCCAACTCTTCCCCAAATACAAGGGAATGGCTTCAGGGAGCAGCATGCCTACACCTGATGAGGAAGGGCAATTCCTTTCTTAATGGGCTGCCTGTTCTTTGTGCGGCCCTTCATGCAGGGATCTGTTTTTAGCTGCACTAGTGCAGAAAAACAGTTGCAAACTCCCTTGAATTTTCAATATATTTCTGCATAAGAATGACCTAAAACATGAAATGCTTAGTTGCAGTTACTACTACCTAAGGCAGGCACACCAGTTATTGAAAGCAAAGGTTTGCCTACTTTTGCTACACATAAATATGTAGCTTTGGATCAGTGGTGAAATGTAAAATTTGTTACTACCGGTTCTGTGGGCGTGGCTTGGTGATGGTAGGGTAATGTGACTGGGTGGGCATGGCCAACTATTTTTTTTTTCTTTTAAAAGCATTTTTTCTACAACCTCTTCGGCCAAGGAGGTTGTAGAAAAAAATGCTTTAAAAAGCCTCTGACAATCCCAGCTGAGCCACGTGATCATCAGAGGCTTTTTTTTTTAACTTTTAAAAGCATTTTTTGGGGCTGAAGAGGTTGTAGAAAAAATGCTTTTAAAAGTAAAAAAAAAAGCCTCTGATGATTGCGCTGCTCACCTGGGCATGGGGAGGGGGCGTGCAGGGATTTTTGCTACCGGTTCTCTGAACCACCCGCCACCATCGCTACCGGATTGGGCGATCTGGTCCGAACCAGGAGCATTTCACCCCTGCTTTGGATCATTTTTCTCAATAAATGCATGAACAAATATAATTTCTGACTCATTTGGTGGAATAGATTCTCTTTATCTAGTTTCAGGACTTGAGTGGAGAAAAATTCATATATTAGCTCATATCTATGCAGAGATATTGAAAATTCTAAACGGCACCACTGTATGGAAGGCAAAGATTATCAACCCACTTTGATGAAGAAACTCTGCCAGTCATCAGACAGACTTGACATCTTCCAAATAAGCTGGGTTACAGGGGATGATGGAAACTGCAGTCTACAAAGACAGCAGGCTTGGACGGTGGAGATTGCCTGTGTTTTGGGGCAAAGCTGTAGTGATTTTCAAATAGAATGAAAAGAAATACGTTTTTAAAACTTCAACTGCAATTGCATATGTAGCAAGAGCTATATAATTAAGACCTGGAAGGAGGCAGTTTGAGTTTGCTCCTTCATCCACTATATCCTGATTTGGCTCAGTTTGTGGGTTTCTGTCATGGAGTAACCAGCATGGTGGACTTTGAATGTAGGAAAGTAGTTCCTATCCTAACCCAGGCACAAGACCCAGCCTGGCCTCGTCCTTCACAGATCTGGCAGATTGCAAGGCTGCATTGAGAAAAGAAAGGCAGGGCATAAATACATGAATTAAAAAGATTCCCCCCACATTTTGATCTTACAGCAGTAAAGTTTAACTAATTAAAAAAATATGTCTTGCTAATAAGGCAGGTGAAGGCAGCACTAACAAAATTCACAATTTTGTAAGTTCACTTCAAATCCAGTTCTTGAATCCCCTCCCTCAAACAACATCCATTAACATTCCAAGGGCCCGCTTTTCTTGAGTGCTTGCAGGAAAGTTTAAGTAACACTCCATTTATAAAGTCTCCTCCTCACCCTGCATTAATCAGGGGAACAGGACAATTTGCCACCACCAACTCTCTGTGGGACAATTTAACAATTCTATTTAATTATTTTAAAATAAATAAAAATTATTTTAATTTTTGCCATTCACATTTCATTCTGTCCCTCCTTTTGCATCATCTATTTAATGATTCTATTCCACCATTTCTTTGATATTAATGTAATTCTGGTCCAGCAGCGAATTGTCCTATGGTGAGATGGCCATGGCAAATTGCCAGAGACCTTTAATCTGGGATCTTTTCTTCCCCCAACTGAGCATTCAAACACAGTTGGGGAATGATTTCAGGAATGCAAGAACTCTTATTGGTGCCAGCTACTCAGATGTAATGCTCTTAATATTAAATTGGAGATCCTGCAAGGACTAATACTTTTCATGGACCAGATTGCAATTGCTTGGCACACAATTATGGATGCATCACAGCAGACCCCACTGAAAAGGAATAGTAGAAAGGGTGATCTGTCTGAGGAGCCAGGGAACTGGCTAGGTAAGGCCTCAATTCCAGTTTTCTGACCAAGTAATTGATTACTTTTTTTACTTGCCCTAAAATTAAGGTCCAGCCAAGAAAACAGTAAATTTAAAACAGGCAAATGCAAATGCTTTTTTGCAAAAGGAAATTAATAGGGCATGAATTGTGATTGTGGCCACCCCCCCCAAAAAGGGGACTAAAACATTTAATGGCAGACACTTACTGCCCTTATCTTGGATTGTTTCATAAAACTGATAACTGATATTCTGAGTGTGCAAAATAGAGGATTAACTGTTGGGGCCAAACAGGAAGTGCTTATTATGGATTCCTATGACACACCCCTTTGGCTATGAAACACGATAGTAAGTGAGACCCTCCTCTCTTTAACCTGATTTGGTGGATCATCTGATTGTATAATTTTCAGAACTACCCTAAACTATAATTGCAAAGACATATTTGAAAAAATTAAGGGGATATAAAATCCATATATTTGCGACAGCGGTGGGATATTATCCTGTCCCTATTTAAGAGGAGAAAACAGCATGTGTTCAGTTCTTCTGTATGGTGCTGTCAAACTTCATTGTTCTGTAAACCTGGAACATCTTTATCTTTTTTGCATTCTGTGTTGATTATCCCACAAATCGTGAGAATAAGATGATTTACGCAACTGCTCAAAATAATCTGAAAGCAGCAACAGCAGCTAATGGAGCCCTGAGAACCCAGGTGGAAAATGTCATGTGCTTCTGATTTGTTTTTTTGTTTTAAAGAAAGAACATTGAATGCCTCCAAACAGTTTATAAGTGCTTGATGCACAAAGAACAAGATCCTGCAATGGAATTCATCGTGAAGCCAAACATTTTGTTTAGTCCAAGGAAAAGTGTCTCCAATATTACCACCAGAAGGAGAGACTAAGGCAGTGATGCCTGAAATACAGGATAGCATGTCCTCCTTAAAAATTTAACCACGGTAGCCAAAAAGCAAAATAGCAACAAGATGGACTATTTTCCAGGAGTTGGATGTGGGACAAGGAAGAGACATATAACATCTTATTATCTCTGGCAGCAAATGTAATTCAGTTTTCCCTATTCAGGTCCCCTTCAAATGTGTGGATTTCATCTCCCATAATCCCCAGACACAAAGGTCATACCTGCTGGAGATTAGGGGAGTTATCGCTCATTACATCTGAAAGGCATGGAGTTGGAGAGATCTAAGCTAGTTCTGTTATTGAAGACTGGCCCTGGGTTTTTGGACAGTTTCATGGAAACATTCCCATTAGGCTGTTTTCCTTGCAGAGTCTTTCTCTTCATTTTGCAAAGTTTTGTCAGACTTTCTTTTTCCCACTGCAAAAATGGGGAGGTTTTAACTGAGCCAGTTGAGCAGGAAGTCTAATAGTATTTCACCTCTTGGCTGCCAGATCTTGGAGAGGAAAATGAAGAGAGGAAGGTGAAAAGAGGTGCAGCTGTCATGCTTCAATGATGTTCACTGAGGGCTTGTTTTTTGGAAACTGGAAGAGAGAAAAGGAATACAATGATAAATGTCAAGACATTGTGCCTTAGGACAGTCTAGATCAGGGGTGTCCAAGCTCAGCAACTTTAAGACTTGCTGGGGAATTCTGGGAGTTGAAGTCCAGGTCTTAAAGTTGCCAATGTTGGACACTCCTGAACTAGAATGTGTCTACCAAAAGTGTTAAGTCAGTTGAGTGCATGGCTAGAAAGAAGTCCAACTCTCATTGCTTAGGGTTTCTTCTTCCAAAATAGATTGATGGGAGGACTTAGTGTAAGGGACTTAGGGTATCCAGGTACCTGAATACACCTTAAAGCTATACTCTTAGGGAGGTGTCTCTGTGCATAAAGAACACTCACAGAGGTCCCCTGACTTGGAGCTAGCAGTCCCTGCCCCAGATGTTCAACACAGCGTGGCTGGATCAGGCCATCCAGGGATGAAGTAGATGGCCTCTGTCAATCCAGAGTGCAGCTTCCTGAATCGGGTCTCTCTACACCCCTCCATCATTTAATATTTGGCTTGGCTCAGTGCCAGGTTGTTGACATAATTGGCCTTCCTGCTTTGGGAAACTCCAGCTGCCTCTGCACCTCCAATATCAAAGGAGGAATCAAAATGAATCAGCTCCTCCATATTAAACCTTGTAGTGAAGCTTGGAATACTTGACATTTTATTTATTCATTTTTAGGTGCCAAACTGAAGAGCTTTTAGGGCACCTGATTGCTTTTATTGTGAGTGTTGCCTAGACAGAAAGATTCAGGACATTTGCACAAGAAGATGTCCTTGTTTAGCATCTGCAATTGGGAATGTTGTAAGTATGAGGACTGGTTGTAAGTCACTTTTTTCAGTTCTGTTGTAATCTCAGTTGCTAAATGAATGTTTTTAAGTCAAGTATTTCTGCAGTCTTCAAAATGCTGCTGAGCTGCAGCTGGCAGATAATGCCTATGTTGGTAAATGCACAACTAACATGCTCTTACTTATTGTCACACCGTAGATGAATTTATTTGTAAAAATGTAGCTCCTGGTCCTGTCCTCCTTCTGTGAGAATGGATGGAAAGTTACTCTTTTATAAAATGTATCAGAAGAATTATAAAATACTTTAAGTCAATAACTCTTACTGCAAGCTTCAGTAGCAAGGCCAAATAAAAACCACAAATGATAAAGAGCTAATCACTGTGTGTCAGCTCGATCTGAATGTTCAAGGAAGTAAGCCCACGCTCCGGCCAAATAGTAAAAGACAAGATAAGATAGATCCTGTTGTAACAAGGCAGGGGTAATGACGTTTGTCCTGAACACAGAATGTAAGGGATCTTAGGCGTGACATATATTGTGTGGAAATGTATAAATGCATGATGTGAAACTTGAAAAGCGCACTTCACGATCTCAATCCAAATTGGGAAGGGACATGGAGGCCTGCCTTTGCGAACACAATTCAATAAACCTTCTTTGTTTGTACATCAGAGTTGTCTGTCGAATTAGTGAGTATAAATTTTGGATGTTTTAAAATCTCACACTTCCTTAAGACTTTTTTTATTATTATTATTATTCATATTTCTATGCCGCCCACTCTCCGAGGACTCTGGGCAGCTTACACCAAAGACAGTATACTAAATAGCATATTGCCCCCAACAATCTGGGTCCTCATTTTACCCACCTCGGAAAGATGGAAGGCTGAGTCAACCTTGAGCCGGTGAGATTTGATCTGCTGAACTAGCTAAGTCAGCTGAAGTAGCTGCAGTACTGCACCTTCCTTAAGACTTTTTAATGGGTGCTCTGGACTAGTGGCTTCTCGCAGTTCCACCAGTGCCCAGCCAGGCCTGCTGAACTGCTACCACCGCTTGCTCAGGCCAGAGCTCCCTTCCCCTCTCTTAGCATCACAGAATCTGCTGCCCTGCAACCATGGGTCTCCTGCCAGGGCCTGGGCAGGGACTGCCACGAGGAAACCCAGCAGTAGCAGGCACATCATTTCTTCTTCATCCCCTGTGCAGCCTTTCGTGGCTGGGTGGGGCAAGGAAAGCTGGTGCACAGGGCAGAGGGGAAGGTGATATACCTGTAAGTCCCACTTTGGAGATGGAATTATGGGAACAGGTTTTCCCTGGGGTAGTTAAACAAGAGGCTAAGAGAAGACTTTCTAGAACAGTTAGGATGGTTCTTCAGGCGATATATTTTGTTCTGTTTTCTTGGATAACTGCAATGGTTAGGAGCAGCTAACCTGCATTTGGACATCTTGCATTTATTAAAATGTTAACTGTACCTGTATATTATAAAAAGGGTTTCATGGGGTGTATGATACAGCAGAATGGGAGCTTTTCATGATTAGTGACTCACACATGTCTCCAATAGGCTGGCAATCTCATTTTTATCTCGGCCCGTGGAATTGGCCTAGCCTCACTTTATGATTATGCAACCTTTCTGGCCTGCAAAACAAGCCACAGAGAAGAATTCAGAAAGGAAAGAGGAGACCTCTTCCAAATGCTGGAAGTACTTCTTATGGCCACAGCAAATGCTGGGTTCTGCTAAGGATGCCAATGGGAAAAGCCTCGGGGTGTTTTGGGACTCTTGCCCTATATATGCTGCCTCTGGCTGTAACCTATGCGTGACTCTACCCCTCTTTCTATGAAGGATGATGGAGGGCGGGAGGATAGAAATTGAATTTTCCAGAAGCTCTATTGGGAAATACCAGTTGCTTTGTGTGTGCCCATCCCTCCCTACCCTCCTCCTCACCTTACTACGCAGGAGGCCCCCACTCTGGTGTTCTGGGGTGCTGTTTTCTGATGTGTTCTTGGCTTTCTCCTTATTGTTGTTTGGTTCGTTGTCTTTGATGATGTCGTACTGCCTGCAGAACAGGGCAATCACCCCTGAGGGAAGGAAAGAGGTCACAGATCAGGATTTCCTGAAGGTCCCACAAGCACCTCCAACCATCCTCCTGGTGGAGGGAGGGAGGGAGGGGAGCTCCCAGGTGACTTCTCTGCAGAATGCTGCTTTGCGCTCTCTAAATGTCCCAAGTTCTGCAGGGCGACAAAAGCAACTGAGAAGGGGGCAGGTACACTCATACATTTAAACAGGGCTGCTTTTCTTCTTTTTAGTGTCAAAATCTAGAGAACTGGTCAAACTGAGGGCCAATGGGATAACATGGTTCCAACGAAAGAGGCAGGTGCAATTCCACCTTCAGTCATGGAGCCTCATTGGCTGATTATGGGTCATTCTCTCGTTCCCAACCCCATCTACTTTGTGAGCAGTTGCTCTGGAAATAAAAGAAATCACCGATGATAAAGTGAGCTCTTGGAGCAGTCTTCCTCAACCTTGGTTGGAGGATCCTGGGAGTCCAGGTTCACACATTTATAAGTTGTCAGGGTTGAGAAACACTGTCTTTCCCCACTGTGCCAGGATGGCAGTGCTCTTGGTCCAGTCCTCAGATGCCTGGTTGCCGAGGCCCAGGAGGCATGCCTTTTCTGCTGTGGTGTCCACCATGTGAAACATTCTCCATAGGGTTGGAAGGGACCTTGGAGGCAGTGGTGAAATCCAAATTTTTTTACTACTGGTTCTGCCGGCGTGGCAGGGGAAGGATACTGCAAAATGCCCATTCCCTCCCCACTCCTAGGAGAAGGATATTGCAAAACCTCCATTCCCACCCCACTCTGGGGCCAGCCAGTGGTGGCATTTGCCGGTTCTCTGCTCAAAATTTCCACTACTGGTTCTCCAGAACCTGTCAGAACCTGCTGGATTTCACCCCTGCTTGGAGGTCTTCTACTCCACCCCCCCTGCCAGTGGCAGGAGATCCTATACCATTCAGGACTTTCTTTGGGCTTAATGGGATGGATACACGTGATCCTGGAAAGAATAACAGAACAGAATAATAGAGTTGGAAGGGAAGTTGGAGGTCTTCCAGTCCAGCCCCTTACCCAACCAGGAGACCCTATACCATTTCAGACACGTGGTTGTTCAATCTCTTCTTAAAAGCCTCCAGTGATAGAGTACCCACAACTTCTGGAAGCAAGTCATTGCACTAATTAATCGTTCTAACTCTCAGGAAATTACTCCTTAATTCTAGGTTGCTTCCCTCCTTGTTTAGTTTCCATCCATTGCTTCTTGCTTACCTTCTAGTGCTTTGGAGAATAGGTTGACTCCCTCTTCTTTGTGGCAGCCCCTCAAATATTGGAAGACTGCTATCATGTCACCCCTAATCCTTCTTTTCACTAGGCATACCCAATTCCTGCAACCGGTCTTTGTATGATTTAGCTTCTACCCCCTAATCATCTTTATTGATTGAGTAGAAGGCTCTGACCCTGATAGCCTTTCATAAGGCCCTAAAGGCCTGGGTCTGGCCAAGGACCCCAAGCACGTAAAGGGTCCCAGGTCCAGGCTGTGCTAGTGATTGCCAGTTATGATGTCTTTCTTGGCTGTTGTGCATTTTAGTTTTTGTATTTGTGATGGGAATTGTTTTTAATTTATTTTAACCTTGTTCACTACTCAGAGACACTTGTCAAGATGGGCAGGCATACCACCTGAATAAATACACACCCTGTTTTCCCCAAAATAAGACGTCCTCTGATAATCAGCCCAATCAGGCTTTTGAGCGCATGGCAATAAGGCGAAGCGCTTATTTCAGGGTTCAAAAAAATATAAGGCAGGGTCTTATTTTCGGGGAAACACGGGACATGATTCTCAATCATCCAGGTCAGGGCTGTCCCACAGCTGCTTTTCAAAAGGCAACTGAACTTTTTCCTTTGAAAACCTTTCCCTTCTTATCCAAGAAGCTTCTTCAGTTCAACCAAGCCAAGAATTGAAGAAGCTTCTTGGATGAGAAGGGAAAATTTTCAAGGAAAAAAACAAGAAAGTCCAGTTGCCTTTTGAAAAGCACCTTTGGGACAACTGGGGAAGTTCATGATGGCAATATCATAATTAAATATCAAATATCATAAAACACTTTGTTACAACAAATAATCTACATTAGATTATTGTCTCCCGATATGATACACAATACACACAATTTACAACCACAATTGAACCCAAAATTTCCATTGCTAAGCAAGACAGTTGTTAAGTTTTGCCCTATTTTATAAGTTTTCTTGTCACAGTTGTTAAGTGAATCACTGCAGTTAATAACACAGTTGTTAAGTGAATCATGGTAAGATCAGTAGTAATAACTTTGTAAAAACAAATTTGCTTCCCAAACTTTTCTTTAAACTTCTTTGTGCATTTTGAACAATTTTGATATACCATATTTTTTGGACTATAAGATGCACTCCCCCCCAAAAAAAGTGGGTGGAAATGTCTGTGCATCTTATAGAGCAAATATTGCGGCAGGGGAGAGAGGGATTGGTGCGGCGCCAATCAGCTGTTTTAGGTGGCGGGGATTGCTGCCACCTATTGCTGTGGCGGTGGCAAACAGGCCGCAGCGAATGGGCCGCAATGGCGGCGAATGGGCCACAGTGAATAGGCCGCAGCGGCAGTGAACAGGCCACAGTGAATGGGCCACGGTGAACGGGCCATGGCAGTGGCAAATGGGAGCTGGCAAATGGGTGGCAGCAGTGGCAAACGGTGGCGGCAAACGGGCTGTGGCGGTGGCAGTGATCCCCACTGCCTAGAACAATTGATTGGCAGTATTCCGGGAGCCAAATCCAGTCATCAATCAGCTGCTCGGCAGCGAAGGCTCCAGCGTTCCCCAGCAGCAGCAGCAGCAGCAGCAGCTCAGTTGACCAGTGGTGGGCACAACAGAGCGGAGCCCTGACGAGTCATGTGCTGGAGCTGCAATAACATGCTGAAACTGACCAGGCTGTTGCTGTTTGCAGCAAGGATGCTAGCCAGATGAATACTGGATGGATGCTGGGAGGCAGAGGCAGATTTTTTTTTCTTGTTTTCCTCCTCTAAAGCTAATGAGCATCTTATGGTCCGGAGCATCTTATAGTCCGAAAAATACGGTACTTAGGATTGCAAGGAATTAGCTGGATAAAATGTGTTGCAAACCAACCCTCCCATCAGCATACCGGAATGACTGGGTGATAGGAGTGCATCCACTAAAATCCAATGATAAATGGGCAAACCATTGATAATGATTTGAGGTGGATACTTTAGAGTTTACCTGCAACTGCAAACTGGCAAAATGGAAGGCTGCAACTCTCCTTACTTTGCAAATCAGAGTGCCAAATCTGATGCATTTTTGCAATCATGCTGAGTTATTGAAATACTTGCATTATCACAGGATCCAATCTCGGTCAGTCACCAGGACCAGAGATTTAGTCTTCTAAGTTTTCAGTCTTGTGCTTGAGCCCATCCTCAGGGTACTTCTCTCTAACAGAATGTGTGCTTTGAGCTATTCTATGCATAGTATTTATGTGGTGCCTGGTTGTGTGGGGGTTTTTATTTGTTGATTGGAGTCTTGATGGCTGGCCAGTCGTTGGCTCTTGTTTCTTTGTGCAGCCAAGTCCTCGGCTCCTAAGTACCTAATAAACTGGTGGTAAATCAGCACACCTGTTGACTGACAAGGGGTCTGTTTCCCAGGCTTCAATCATTTCCCTGGCTATCTTTGTACCTGCTCAGCCAACACACTTAGTAGCTGTGAAATTAATGTATGTCCTTGTTCATTGCAATGAGAGGCTACCACCTCGTCTGACCATTCATTTGTGCTCTTGCAATCTGGTGGTTAGCTTCCTCCCCATCTGTCCTACATAGTCACAGGGGCAATCTATGCAGGGATTACATTAGAAGTATCTGCCACCTCCAAATGATCTTTGCAATTCAGGATTTGTCCTCGGATGCTAGCCCCTGGGAAGTGTGCGATGCCCACTTGCAGATGTCAGAAGCTGCGTTCTATTGCTTCCGAAATGTTTTTGACGTATGACAAGGTGTGCCATATATACATGGTCTTATGCCTTCTTCCTTCCTCTCCCTTGCGTATTGCTCAGGCATTTTGTAACAAATGCTTATGGGCACCCATTCTGCCTGAATTGTTCACATAGGTACCTGCTCTCCAGTTGTTTAGCTCGCTGGGTACTATAGTGGGTTCTCACCCTAACATATAGTGTTCTGGCTCAACTCTTTTTGCATGACAGTGGATGGTTACTGTTGAAACTAAGAATGTGTGGAATGTTGGTGGCCATGATAAACCATGGTTTCTAGGCTTCCGTCTTCCTGTCTGTTGACAAGCACATCTACAAATGGTAATTGCCTAGTCTTTCAGGGCATTTCTTTTGATGATGACAAATGTGTCATCCATATAGTTGCACCAAAATTTAGGTATGTAATTTTGAAATGCATGGTGTTCTAGTTCGCGCAGGACAATTTCTACAATGACTCCTGATAATGGGGATCCCTTGGGTATCCCTTTTATGTGCTCATACATTTCCATTTTGAACATGAAGAAGATATGTTGATAGTACTAGTGTAGCTTTGTGATTTGTGTCCTGGCTAGGTTGTTCTGATTCTGTGCTGTACTCTTCTTCTTGCATTCAGAATTAATTAGGCCAGTTAAGTTCCCAGCTCAATCAGATGTGTCCAGGTAGGTCCATTCCATAAATGTAGATTTCTTTTTCCATACAACACAGCACTCAAACTAACCTCAAGCCCCCTGCATCTTTAGCATTGACATATCTCTTGTCTACTCACAGGTCTTTTGTGGTTTTAGGCCAGCCTTCTTTACTTTGGGCGGCTGAGCATTTCACCTCATTGGGGTTTTAATGCTCTTGACCAGTTCCTCATAGCGCCTGAGAAAGGATCTATATCGAGAGCAATGTTTCTCAACCTTGGCCACTTGAAGATGTGTGGACTTCAACTTCCAGAATTCCTCAGCCAACCATGCTGGCTGGAAAATTCTGGGAGTCGAGTTCACACATCTTCAAGCAGCCAAGATTGAGAACAC